GTTGCACTCCTACCCTTAAACGGTGAAGTCTTCATCCTGAGCTGAGCTAGCTGTAGTTTACTGGGACACAGGGTACCCCAGAGATAAAAAAGGGCTACTGTAACATAAAGTCTGGGTGTCTCAGAGTCCAAGATGCAAGGGCTTGCCATCACTAGAACCCACACCTGGGCTGTCTTCCAGAGGCACTCAGAGAGACAGCATAAGGGTCAGGGGGCTTAAGCAGGAGCCCCCATGACAAGACCTCACTATCAATTTCTATAAAAACATTAGAGCCTTCTCCCATTCCTTGTGTATCCTAACATCTTGTTTCCACATTGAGCAAAGATCTTCAATGACTGCCTGCAATGATGTCAAAGTCCTTTTTTCAAGTTAAAATTGATTTATGATTCTAAGTGATGCAATTTTTTTTCTCTCCAACACAAAAACACTGTACATTTATCATCAGCACTAAACTTGATTTACTATCATGCAGCCAATTCACCCAGTTTTCTCTGAAGTTCCTCAAGTCCTCTTTGGTTATGATTAGCTTAAATAACTGTCACTTGCGGTTCTTCTAACTTACTACTCACTCCCATCCCCAATTACTAAACAGCATAAGAACTAGCACAGAGACTTGAGGTCCCCTGCTGTTAATCCCTGCTATGGTGAAAATTTACCAATTCTTTCCATCATGTGCCTTCTGCCTCTTAGCTAGTTTTTTGATGTACAACATTTTGCCTCTTACTGGGCATGTCTATATGAGGTGTTTACTGTGCAGTAGCATAATAGCACTGTGAAGTAGCATGCCCGTCAAAAACCATGCTAATACACTACTCAGCAGTGTTATTAGGCTACTGCGCAGTAAGCATCACAAAAAAAACCATGCGTCAGGCATTTAGTTAGTACTTCATTTAACAAATACTAAACTAAATGTGCAGTAACTACTGCACATAAATGAACATGTAGACACACCCACTCAATGATTATTCAGCATCCTCCTGTACAAAACCTTATTATAGGCCTTTGGGAAGTCTAAATAATAAACCCAAGTCCAGGGAAAGAGCAAACCATATACTGGACAAAGCAGTCTCTGCTTTACCTTTGAAAGGATTCACCAGGTGTTTTCCTACCTCGTCTTCCATACTGCCTGAAAAACACCTATAAAGCATAGTCATAGTCATAACTATGCCCCACTCCTCTTCCTTAAGGAGGAGAACATGGCAATCAGAACTACCCTGAAGCAATGTGTGTGTGCAAGAAGCCAAAAAAGGATATTTTCATAGACCAGTAGAATTCTAGCTGCCGTGACAGTTTATTTAAATGTTTAATACGTACATAGTGCCATACAGACAAATATATTCATTATTTGTTTTATACTAATTTTTCTCACTGTTACACAACACTGAGCCCAACAATTTAAGATGACAGAAAAAATTAGAATTGATACAGGACTTGAGAAACGAATCATATGTTTGAAACAACAAGAGATATAAATCCCTATGGTTGAGGGCATAAGTTAACAATTAATTAATTGATTGGATAAAATACCCTGTCCACAGGCACATTGTTCCATAGCTGTCCAGTTCAGGAGTTTTAAGACCCTTTATCTGATTGGTTAATGGCCACAGTCAAAGACAGGAATTTTTATACTCACTTACAAAATAACAGGGAATTTATTATATTTTTTTGTATCTAGAGAACTGCTCTGGTGGTTGAGGGAAAATGACATCCTATATATGCATTATACTAGTTCAGTTTGTAAGATCTGTTTCTATCTGACTGCTTTTTCAACTTGTTATTGAACATCTGTATTAAAATAGCACCAAAAAGCTACAGTCAGGGTACCCTTGGTCTAAAACATGAGCACACCATGGGTTTTTTTGGTTTTTTAAAGATAGCTGCACACTTTAATAAGATTCACATAATTTAAATGTCACCTAGGAATTGCCATAAGAGAGCTCACCAGCTTTGTTTATTTAGTTTAAGGAACCCAAGGAAATAAAAAATAAAACTACATCGGTTTCTTAAACAGGAGCATTATTAAATGTTTCCTCTAAAAAAAAGTTAGAGATTGTTTTAACTACAGAAGCTGCATAGATAATGCTATATGCCAAATTTGGAGATTAAAAGTCAGATACAAACGTTTTAAAAAAAACGAACTTCAAACTTATTTACATGCAAATGTCAATACAGTTTTAAGTATGGTATCAATACAAAAGCCTCCATCATAAAACCATAGCTCTTAATACAATGCTCAGCTTCAAAGCATTACAGAAAACTAAAATTTTAAAAATACCTCTTCAAAGAGAAAATACCCTGTAAATTATAAAACCCAATGGTATCTATGTCTTCTGACAAAACATTTTAAACTTGCTTTTCTTTCTACGTCCTTCCCACCACCATCTCATGTACAGTATTTTTCTTTAAATCACAACCAGCTAAAAATTTCCATGAAAGATAAGTTTGATCACAAATTCAAAGTAAAGGTGTTAATGGTATGGCAGAAAAAAAAACCTTGATACAAACCAAAAAACCTGTCAGAAGCTTGGATTCATCCTGCTAAAGTGCAGGTAGAAGTAACAGGATAGTGAAAATCGGCAACAAAACAGCAGCATACACACCAGCCCCTTAAAGGGGTTACATTCTCAAACTGCCTGCTGATGCCCTCTCTGATGCTCTGTGTTGAGGGCTAGTCTTTCATGCCCCTTCCAGCCCCACTCATCCTTGCCACCAAATTAGTCATTCTCTGTTGGCACTGGCCATGGTGGTATTTGGTAAGCAATGGCTGCACCAGAGGGGTAGGGGTAACCAGACCCCGACACACAGCTGGGAGCAGGGATGGCTGGACCACTGAGGAGGGGACAAGCAGGTTACAAGGGTGGCCAGGTCACAAGTGCTGGCCCATCATTCTAAAAAGGTTGCTGACCCCTGTTCTAGGGCATAGGAAATGTACTGCACTGTAATAAATGTTAAACATTTACAGTGAAATCCTGAAACCTCTCTCAAATAGAGCCAGGATTTGGGCTGAGTAAAGGATGAGACTCATAGCACTTAATCAGCACACACAAACCAAGTTTCTACATTTAAATTCTTAACAGACTTTCATAAGCACTGGTGGTAGATTGTAATTCTACAATAAAAAGCTTGAAAACTGCAACACCTCCATGAATGCAGATGGAGATTCGTTTAAATTAGTAAACAAAAAAGGTGAGCAATACACCCCAAGCACGTCAAAGACAGAGAGCTCAAAACTGGTCAGATCCTCACTGGTATAAACCACCTCAGACATAACCAGTTTTGAAAACTAAGTAAGAGTCCATTCATGCATTAGCATTAGTACCAATAATAGTTGAATTTGACCCTAATTGCTTGAAAAAGTTATATTATTAAAACGCTGAGGGGGGGGAGGAGGTTAGTGGGGAAAGGAAAGGTACACTGGAAAGATAATACCTTCCTTGCTTTAACTTGGAACATTAGGGATGATGTTTGTGCACTTTTGTCCAACTGATCTACTAATAAATCAACACACTTTTCATTTGCATCATAGCTTCTGTTAATTATGAAAGGACTAAATCTTGATCTAATAATCTTTTGATTACATAGTATGAAAAGATCAGCAGTGACATATATGTACAATAAACCTTAGGATCATTCTGAACGTTTGACAGTTCAGTTTTCCCACATTCTATTTTTAGAAGCTGAAATTTGAATACCATTAAATCAGAGCAGAAATAACAGCTGGTAAGATTTTATATACAATAGTTAAACCAGAGCTCTGGAGGACTTAGGATGCAGTGTAGACATGCCTGGTCTAGCTTGTTTAGAAGTCATCCTTCTATTGGGTGTACAGTAAATAATATATTGAGCTATATACATTCTGGTTCTTTTAAAAAAACAACAAACAAACAAAAAACAGACTTTTGTCCTTTTCCATAGCCATGCATTGATATCTTACACTGTCCGCTGCAATGCACAGATACTTGTGAATGATAAGAAACAAGGTAAATTAGCTTAGGCTGAACTCCATGCTACTGCATCTAGACCAGGGTGGGCAAAATACAGCCAGAGGGCCAGATCCAGCCCACCAAGAGATTTTATCCCTTGGTCCTGCCCAACCCAGGTGCAGAAGCAGCCCAGGCCATGGTGTGTGCAAATGGTCCCACCACCCTGCTGGGATAATGCAGCAGCTGGACTCAGCTTCCTGGCAACAGCAGCTCCTTCTGCTGGTATTGCTGCTGCAACTGAACCTGGCTGACCCTGCTGCCCAGGCAACTTGGCCCATCCACCCCACACCCATGGGGGCAGGCAAATGGAGTGGGCAGGCGGGTGAGGACTCCATGAAGGCCAGCCCAGGACCCCCATGGGCAAGGCACGGTCATCCAGACAAATGGGATGGAGTCATGGGCAAGGAGTGCTATCTGGGAACAGGAAAGGCAGGTGGGGTTGGGATCACCGGTCAGTGACAGAGAGGGCTATGCTGGGAGCAGATTGTGGCTCTGTCCCAGGCACCTGCCCCACACCATCACCGCCCTATGATCCCAGCCCCACCCTGGGCTCATCAGTTCATCAAAACTCCCTAAGTGGCCCTCCAGCCCAAATAATTGCCCAGCCCTGATCTAAACTATTTCTCATATTCAAGCTAGCTCAATGCTTCAGTGTAAACCCAATGGAATGATGGCTTCCAAGGAATGAACATGACTATTAAATAATCAACCTCCTCTCTCTGAAGGTTTCATATAAACAGAGGTTTGATAAGATATCAACTACCCTAAACAAAGCCTTCTCCACCAGTTAATAGTACTACCACAAAATTTGTATGTAATTTAACTGGAAGTGGGCATTTAGTCGCGTGAAAAAAATAAAACAGGTAGGGGACTGATAACTTGTCCATTTGGTCTCTTCATTCAGATCACAAAAAGTAAACAGTGATGCTTCAAAGAGAAAAACAAAAACCTGAAACTGTGTTTCACATGAACACAAAACCAAAGTACAGTACTACTAAAATAGGTAGAAGGACTCACCAAGTTCATTGAGACTCTGTGCAGCTTTTGTTATCTCTCTGCTTCCTCCTTGCAGCTGTCCTTGAAGTCTCTTACTGAGATACAAGATGCGTATTATTCTCCGTAGCAAGTCACAAGCAGCCTGGATGCAAGACATGGCATTATGGACATAGTCATTTCAGTGTTCAAACTGATGTTTTAGGTACCAAACTTGGAACCACTTAGGCATACTAAGTGTAGTTAAGTCAGGACACAAATACATGAGCAAACATTTGGAATCTGACCTAGCAACTGATACACACAGACACATTAGCTACATTTTTGTAA